AGCCTTCTGCGTGGGTGGTTCCGGGACAGTGCTGTTTCATTGTGTAACCAGAGTAAACATAGGACTCCTCATGGCTCAGTCTTCATGTCTGTCACTTCCAAAGAAATGCAGTGCAACAACTAAAAGTCTGCAAAAGTAATTCTAATGCTTTCTTGAAGTTCGCAAGAAGCAATGAATAAGACAACAAGAAATATAAAGGAAGATAGCATTGATAGCCCACAGGAACACTCTTTAAAGCCTTTCCCCCTATTCCTTATGCTCTGTTTTCCTCTTCACTCTGCAGCTGCACTGAAGTTTCTTCTACTGGCTATGCCCTCCTAACCCTCCCACTAAACTTTCCCTTTCACTTCCTGACTTATTTTTCGCTTGCTGATTTCCAAGTCCTCCCTTGACTTATATTCTCAATCTTCAAAATAATTGGTGGTTTATGATTTATTACTTCAATTGGGGGCTGGGGAGTGTATGCAAACAGATTATAGATCCAGGCAAGCTAACGTCCCTGATTCCTCTTATGAAGCAAGAATCCCCATGCAAAGGAACCTTTTACAGTTGTTTCATGATGACCAAATGGTCTTCCATCCAGTCATTAGTGTGTGCCAGGAACAGCAGCCAATTTATCTTAGTCACCGGGTTTAAATCTACCACTTACTCTCTGAGATTCTCACCGAAAATAGAAACTTGTTAGGGTTCAAATGCATAAAATATAAAGGGCTTAGGAAGATGCCCAGCACATAGTAGGCCTTAGCAAATTACAGGCATTATCATTATTTTTATAGAAGCCCTGTGAAGTTGTCAGGAGTCCCCTGGTGGCAAGAACAGTTAAGCGCTCAACTACTAACAGAAAGGTTGTGGTTTGAGTTCACTCAGGGTGCCTCAGAAGAAAGGCCTGGCAATCTACTTCTGAAAGACCATAGGCCCATTGAAAACCCTATGGAGTACAGTTCTACTCTGAAACACATGGGGTCACCATGAGTTGGAACTGACTTGATGGCAACTGGTTTGGTTTGCTTTTGGTTTTGTGAAGTCGTCAAGCAGAGGTCATGGCCACTCTTTTTCTCCTGATGAGTAAACAGAAGCTCAGAGTGGTTGAGTGTCTTACTTAAGGTCACACAGCTAGTAGAAAGTGATCTAGAACTGGAGTCTAGAACTTCTGACTGTCTGCCCAGTCTCTCCTTTCTCATTTTTGTTTGCCTCTTCAAACTTGCTGATCTGCCACCCAAGCAGGAAGTGCTGTCTACAAGGGCTTCCCCTTACTATTTGGCCACAATCTGGTTGGGGAAAAGGGTCATCTCGGTGTTGCTGAAGGCCTTTTAGAGCTGTGCATTGAGGATTTTCTGGTGATGAGATCCTGGGAGCTTTTCCAACCTTTAGACGTGTCCATAAGCCTTTGGGTGTGCTGGGGTAGAGTAACCCAGAATAGAGCTCAGTCCCAGAGACTCTGAGGCAGACGATTGGAGTAATTCAGCCAAGGACTTTGAAGTCACATTGTAGGAGTTTAACCTTTACATCTGTCCCTTGTTAGCTGCCTGTCCTTAGGCAAGTTACTTAATCGCTCCGTGGCTCAGTTTCCCCACCTGTAAAATGTGAACAGTTAACAGTACCTATGACATAGGGCTATTGTTAGAAATGAATGAAATAGTCCATATAGTCAACACACTGCAAATGAAACCAGCTAATAGTGGTTCTCTTTTTACTTTAAACACTGAGAGTAACCCATGCCTTGGGCCATCCCACTACAGAACAGGTGTATTTTAGCGTCTCCCTAAGAAGGGCCGCTCAGGTCAAAATAGAGGTTGAAATAGTGAAAAAAATAAAAAACCAAACCCATTGCTGTTGAGTCAATTCCGACTCATAGCGACCCTATAGCATAGAGTAGAACTGTCCCATAGGGTTTCCAGGGAATGGCTGGTGGATTTGAACTGCCAATCTTTTGATTAGCAGCCATAGCTTTCAACTGCGGGGGCCACAAAGACCCCAAGAGGGGAGGGACCTGGGGCCCCAGGGTCCTGGGCCAATAGAGATAGCACGTGGGATGAGCAGGGAATGCTGGGAATATTGCGTGCGAGGGTGGGAGCTGGACACTCCCTGAAGGTCTCTCTCCCTCCAGTCCAGATGGGCCGCCCAACTGTCAATGTGACCAAGGATGGGGACAGCTACATCCTGCGCTGGGAAGCACAGAAGCAATACTACGATCACATAGTTTACACCTTTGAGGTCCAGTACAGGAAGGACACCGTCTCATGGGAGGTGAGGGCCTGAGGCAGGGGAGGAGCACGGGTGACGGTGAGGGCAGGAGAATGAGACACACCCAGGAGCCCAGAGCCTGGCCCAGCAGGTGAGCAGTCAGGTCGTCACTGTGGTGTGATCATGACCCCGCATGGTCAGCAGGTCAGCATCTCAGAGTGGTGACGTGACTCTGTCAGAATCAACACAGCTGACCCTGCATTACAAGGAGGTCAGACCATCAGGGCAGGGAGGGGCTGAAGACTGGAGGATTTTCAAACGCTGTAAAGCCCTGGGGACCCTTCTCCAGGGAACTCTTCTCTAGAATCCCAGAGTGCAGTGCTAAGAGCAGACGGCTCCCGGTGGAGCAGGGGGACCTGGCCCAGGGCTCAGTCTCTGCTCTGACCGCGGGCCGCCCTCAGGGCCCATGTGCAGAACCTGGGGCTCCCTGGAGCCCAGAGCAGAATCCATGGAGCCAGCCTCGACCCAGGCAGAACACTGAGGACAGGAGCCGGCGGGTCAGCGGTGGAGGTAGAAGTGGGCCCAGGGCTCTCAAACTTCTGTCTCAGGGTCCAGGGTCCCACAGTTGGAGTCCATGCTGCCCCCTAGAGGAGCTGGGATGTTAAGGAACCTCAGAGGAACTTGGGACATGGTGGCTTCTCAGGCTCTTGGCACCTTGGCATTGTCATGTCACAGGAGTTCTATCCCGAGCACTGTCCCCGCCGCGGGCACTGGAGTAGGGGTTCTCCATGCAGAGAAAGACTCAGCTGCAGTGGGGACTGAAGGGTCGCAAGTCAAGCTGGTTGGTGTGGAGGTGGCAGAGGCTTGTGGCTGTGCCGACGTGCACCAGACAAAGGGCTTCAGCCTCAGCCCACCCTGCTCGCCCACACCCACCCACAGGAGAGCAAGACACAGCCCCTAAAAAATATGCACAGCATGTCACTGCCACCTCTAGAGCCCTCCACCAGGTACTGGGCCAGAGTGAGGGTCAAGCCCACCCTCAGCAGCTACAACGGGATCTGGAGCGAGTGGAGTGAGGAGTGTTCCTGGGACACTGAGTGGGGTAGGTCTGCTAGCCTCCACCCGCCCTCCTGGGACAGCCCAGCCTGGCAGGAAACGGGGGAGGGGGGAGACAGAGATTTCAGGCTTCAGGCCCCACCCCAACCAGAGAGGGACCCCTCAGGCAGAAAGGAGAGCTGGACACCAGGCCCAAAGGAGGAAAGAAGAGGGGAGTCCAGGAGGTGGCCCAGCCTGTGCGGGGCTCAGGGCCTGCGCAGCAGGAAGCAAAACAAAGGCTCCTGACTGGCCTTTGCACATGCTGGCTTCCTGCCAGGCTGCCCATTTCCCCACCTCACCTCTCCAAATCCTCCCTGCTCCTTGAGGCCCTCTTACATGCTGCCTCCTTCAGGAAGTCTCCCGAGAATGCCTCCCATTGCACCACTTCTTCCTGGAAAGGCTCTTACTCTCCCGTGTCTCCCAGCACTTAGAGCACTGTGAGCTTCAGACCAGGGCCCTCCTCTTCTTAGCACATGCCTGGCCCCC